CAGATGACAGCGACGATTCAACAGAAATATTTCTTTACAACTTGGAAGACGTGTCACTTGAGAAGATTGTAGTTCATGGGGTTGGTTTTGGTACTGTTGGAATAGGCCCAACAGGCCCAACGCTCAAACAGGGCTGTGCATAACGGGCCTAGGTTACCACCTATTAGCCCAAGTTGAGGGCGCATCAGTACAAGCATACCCATGTGGCCAGCGCCATGCGGGTCGAGGGGATGCTTACACGTGCAGATGTATGTCAGCACCCAGGGGCTACAAATACCCCCCAACTACCTCCGATGAAGGTAATTAATCTCTACGCTTCTCTCTCTGCAATTACTCCTTGAGAGCATCTCTCTCTAGAATACTGGGTATTGCTGACTTGAGCGTCGGAGTATTTTCTCCGAGGAAACAACCTCGGGATTTTCAGGTGTAGAAGCAACTGAGGACTTCAACAGTGTTGGACTGCGAAGCTGCCGAAACATTGGCGCCGTCTGTGGGAACATGTACAAGGAGTCGTGTAGCTTTACTTGTTGAAAGATAATATGGTTCGTACCTTTACTGGAGGTCGCCCTCCAAGGAATGAAATGGACAAACAAGAAGACACTCACGTGTCCAAGCCCGGCTTGAACGACTTTAGGCCAATGCCAAGAAATCTTTTTGTAGGAGGTGCCGAACAGGATCACCTAAGTGAGACAGATGATGAAAGAACACCGACTGGGTATGCAACCCAGCCTGAACAGTTCCAAGTTCCAACAGGAACAAGACAAAGATCTGCCAGGCCGTACAACACACAGCGTGAACGACCTGAAAGGTCAACAGAACCTACTCGGACAACCGAGCTCGAAGAGAGAACTAGAGTTCTCGAAATGGCGATGGGTAAAATCCTTGCCCGCTTAATTCCTGATGACCCCTTGATTCCCTTGCTGAACAGAGATGCACAAGCAGCTGCGGTTGTCGCAACTCGAAACTCCCCTGCTCTAAGCAACGTAGTGGTGCCGACCAGGCCAAGGGGAAGTGGGAAGTTGAATAACAAGCCCAGCTCGTCCAAGCATAGTGAAGAATTGATGAGAAAAAACGCAGACCTTGAAAGGCAGCTGCGGGACGTACAGAAGTCCATTGACGAGCTGAAAAGTCCCAGGTCGCATCAACAGACTCTGGATTTGGATAGTGCGCCACTAAACTTATCAATTACGGCAGAGCCGTATCAAGAGGGATTCAAAATTCCCCACCTGGAGACATATGATGGCTCAGGTGACCCTGATGAACATCTGCACACCTATCAAGCCATCATGAGAATCCAAAACGCCAATGATGCTATGATGTGCAAAGTGTTCCCAGCGACACTCAAGTCAACAGCCAGGAGATGGTATCACAAACTCCCCAGACATTCAATAGAGTCATTCTCCCAGCTCGCCAAGTTATTTTCTAACAAGTTTGCGAGCCAGAGGGAGATCAAGCGCACAGCAACTGAGCTGATGCAAGTTAACCAGAAAGAAGAGGAGTCGTTGAGGGATTATATGCAGCGGTTCAACAAAGCCACCTTAGACATTGATAACGTCCCGGACACGATCTGCCTGTCCGCCCTGTTACATGGGTTGAAGCGTGGCCGGTTTCTAGACGACCTGCTTGAAAACCCACCAAAGACGTGGAATGAGGTGAATGACAGATCGGCCAGCTTCATACTATCAAAGGACTTTCAGTCGTCCAAGCGACGAGCTGATGATAAGCCGGGTAAAGGCCAGGAACAACAACCGAAAAGAGAAGAGAAGAAGAAGCAGAAGGTCAGTGAGCAATGGGGGAAGCCAGCTGAGTTCCCGAAGTATGCCAATTACATTCCTTTGACCTTACCCAGGTCCCAAATCCTGGCACAAATCCAGCACTAGGTTAGGAGACCTCCGCCCCCACTACATGATTCCCCAAGGGCAGACAAGAACAAGCATTGTGACTACCATCGTGTGTATGGTCACAATACAGAGGATTGTCAACACTTGAAAGACGAGTTGGAGTTTTTGGCTCGAAATGGGAAGCTAGAAGGATATGTTCAGAAGCCTCACACCCAGCAACCCGCTCAAACCCATTTTGTACAGGCGTACGA